AGTGATGTTTGTTTGACAGTGCTGGATACTTTTAATACCATGGTAGAAATGTAATTACTTATTTTTGCTGTAAGCTTCCTCAAGGTGTACTGTATTTCTCCAACCACCCAACAAAACTTGGCAATGATTCGACAGGTGGATGATATTTTGTTTGCAAAAAAAGCTATCAATATATTTATGAGTCACAGAAAATATTTAGCGCTGATCAAAGTTGTTAAATTTGCCAAGAGTATTCTAATTCTAAGAGTCACTTTTAGAATATTTTAGTTTTTCTGGTGCCTAAATAGCCTCATTCACATTTTTCATAGACGCTGATTCCAGAAGACGATGTAAATTAGCGAGTGGCGTGACTTGATAAACCCCGATTGACAATGAGCAATATTATTTTGCAGTGAGTGTTTGCATTTCACAATGTTTGCTCACAATGAAATAAGTTGAATTTTACCGCTAAAGTGATATTTCGTGTGCTATTGCAATAATTAATAATCAATGTTTGTTACAACTCGATAACATTTCTTTTTTACTTTAAAAATTTCAACACATATTTTAGAGCCAATCAAAAGCCTTTTTTTGTATTCAACACCAGAATTTGAATACAGACGGCAATATTTTTAATATCGTGCAACTCCTCCATTTAGGCTATAATGGTTTGAAATAGTGATAAAAAGACAGCCAAAAATATGACCCATCTTCAAAAACATCTCCTAGGACCATGCTAGAGATCAGATGGAGAAATACATCAGTAACAGCGTTTACTTACCAGCTTGACCAGCAACATCAGATGCAGTCATATTCTTTCCGTTTGGATTCACTCGAAATGAGACCTGGTAGTCAGATACCCTAGACGTAAACAGAACACATCAAGTAATCAGTGTCAGAAGTAAAACATTTGTAACTTGTATCTGGTTTTTGAATACATGGTACTATATCACAGCATATAGTAATGTGTTTCACTAGCCTGGTTACATCTCTATTATTTTCTGGATCCATCGTCCATCTGGAAACGTTACCCTGATTTTGTTCATTAATCATGCAAATTTATTCCAGTATCACAAACAAGGGGTAGTCAGACTTTTTGTCTCTGTGGCCATTATCAGTTGATTCAGCGCGTGCAAAGAATATACATGTAACTGTTAACCATTTTTAGGGTAATTAGCATATTCAGATTATTAGCAGCATGTATATAATATGCTATGTTTACCCACTGACCATATGAGCAAAATTGTGGCAATGTTTCCAGACTAGTATGGAGGCTGGGCCACAGAAATAATAGGAAGGTAACCAGACTAGTGTTTCACATAAAAAATCTGAAGATGCCACACGCTATTTGAAATCTAAGACATGGTATTTAAAAATTATTGTATTTGAAATCTAAGACACCACCACATGGTATTTGAAATCTAAGACACCACCACATGGTATTTGAAATCTAAGACACTACCACATGGTATTTGAAATCTAAGACATGGTATTTAAAAATTATTGTATTTAAAATCTAAGACACCACCACATGGTATTTGAAATCTAAGACACTACCACATGGTATTTAAATTAAAGACACTACCACATGGTATTTGAAATCTAAGACACTAATACATGGTATTTGAAATCTAAGACATGGTATTTAAAAATTATTGTATTTGAAATCTAAGACACCACCACATGATATTTGAAATCTAAGACACTACCACATGGTATTTGAAATCTAAAACACCACCACATGGTATTTGAAATCTAAGACATGGTATTTAAAAATTATTGTATTTGAAATCTAAGACACCACCACATGATATTTGAAATCTAAGACACTACCACATGGTATTTGAAATCTAAAACACCACCACATGGTATTTGAAATCTAAGACACCACCACATGGTACTTGAAATCTAAGACACTACCACATGGTATTTGAAATCCAACACACTACCACATGGTATTTGAAATCCAACACATGACCACATTGTATTTGAAATCTAAGACACTACCACATGGTACTTGAAATCTAAGACACCACCACATAGTGTTTGAAATCTAAGACACTACCACATGGTACTTGAAATCTAAGACACCACCACATTGTATTTGAAATCTAAGACACTACCACATGGTACTTGAAATCTAAGACACCACCACATGGTATTTGAAATCTAAGACACCACCACATAGTGTTTGAAATCTAAGACACTACCACATAGTATTTGAAATCCAAGACATGACCACATTTTATTTGAAATCTAAGACACAACAACATGGTATTTGAAATCTAAGACACTACCACATGGTATTTGAAATCTAAGACACTACCACATGGTATTTGAAATCCAAGACATGACCACATTGTATTTGAAATCTAAGACACCACCACATTGTATTTGAAATCTAAGACACCACCACATG